GTCATCTCTCATCACACTGCCCGCCCGAGTTGCAGCTGGAATCAGTAGTGTGGCTTGCTTGCTCCTGCTGGCGCGAGCACCGGGGAGAACCAGAGACCAGAGCAGGGCTGGGTGTCCCCTCAGGGAGAACGTGCTGCAGCACCTGGAGGACAAGATCTTTGACCGGCCCATCTGCGAGGCCCTCCTGGACCAGAGGTTCTTCAATGGCATTGGCAACTACCTTCGGGCCGAGATCCTGCACCGGTCAGTGGGGTGGGCCCTGGGCACGGGCTAGGGTGTGCCCACAGCCCCCTGCTCAATGTGGCTCCGTTTCCCACCCTTCAGGCTGAAGATACCCCCCTTTGAGAAGGCCCGCACAGTGATGGAGGCCCTGAAGCAGCGAAGGCCGGTGGGTACAGCGAGGCCTGGACACAAGTGTGCTGGCCCAGGCGTGTCAGCACGTAGGCCGCCAGGGGAGGGGCCACGTTGGTGCCTCCAGCTTTGCTTTGCCGTGACCACCTGTGACCTCAGGCCGGTGGGCGCTTTCTAAGATCTGGGCGTTGTGCACCCCTTTGCTCTGTGTGTGTGACAAAGTGTCCCTCAGGTTGTGGGGGAGCAGCTCTGCCCACGCTGAGAGCCTGGCCCTGCCCCTGCTTCAGAGCCCAGAGCTGACACTGAGCAAGAAGATCAAGGACAAGCTGCAGAACCCGGACCTGCTGGAACTGTGCCACTCTGTGCCCAAGGAAGTGGTCCAGCTGGGTGAGGCCTGGGCAGGGCAAGGATGGCCAATTGCATTGGTCTGGGCATATACTCTGTGTGGGCACTGGCTGCCTTGACCGGGGCCCAGTTCCCTGCTGGGAAGCGGGAAGCTGTAGTCTCAGTGGTTACAAGTGGACGGGACCGCCCCACTTCTCAGGTGTGGGTACCCTCCAAACAGCCCTACTCCAGGATGGGGGACGTTACAGCCTCGAGTCACACAGCTGGGAGAGGGAGAGCCTCTGAGCCTGGCTCTGCGCATCAGCGTGTAGCTGAGGCTTGGGCCAGGCTTGCCCGGCTCCCCTTCTTCCCAGGCTGGGAGTCTGCTCCCTGAGCTCCGCCTGGGTTCTCTGTCCCACAGGGGGCAAAGGCTACGGGGCGGAGAGTGGGGAGCAGGACTTCGCCGCCTTTCGAGCCTGGCTGCGATGCTACAGCGTTCCAGGCATGCGCTCCCTGCGTGACAGGCATGGCCGTACCATCTGGTTCCAGGTGGGGCCCCACTGCTCACAGTGGTAGACCGGCTCCAGGGAATCTGATGGGGTGAGGGGTAGAGACCTGGGGGCACAGCAGGGCGGGAGCTGGGGTCTCTCCCTGGAGGGGCTACTGAGAGGTTGAGTTCCCACTGGTGGAGGGCAGAAGGCCTTGCCCCTTGCAGATGTCACAGGGCTGCCCTGCGAGGGTCCCCAGGCCTCCAGCACCGCCCAGTGACTCCTGAATTCCCTCCATTCCATATTAGGGGGACCCTGGACCGCTTGTGCCCAAAGGTAAGCTGCCCTTACGAATGTACAGGGCTCAGAGTGGGACACCTGCCATGACCACCCTTCTCCATGCCCACCTGCATGCAGCCCTGGAGCGGCTGGGACAGAGGGGCTAGAGGAAGGGAGCTGGGGCCCTCAGCCTCTGACCAGCATGGGTGTCCTGCAGGGCATAAGGCTCGTGCCAAGAAACCCAGGGAAACCCAGCCGGACACTGAGGACGGAAAGGAGGTGTGCCCCTCGTCTGCCTGCTCCCCTGCACTCTCTCCGGCATGCTTGCTGACAAAGGGGAGGCGGATGCCCCTTAACCAACCTCAGAACTCCTTTCTGAGCTGCCCGGGGACCTGTTTTCTCTACTCAGGACCCTCCACCTCCAAGCCAGACCCCTTCCAAGGCACGAAGAGCACAGAGAACCCTTCCCAAGCAGCCTGCACCCCAGGACCTGGAAGCTCCCACTGCCCCCAAGAGGACAAGGAGGGCCATGCAACCAGCAGCCTCAGGTGGACTTCCTCAGCACTCACCTCTGGGAGGGAGGCTCTCCCCCAGGAGAGGGTGGGATGGCCATGGGATGGATGGTCTGAACTGCCCATCTCACTGCCCACCCCCACCAGGCCCACGCCGCAGAGGCCGCAGAGTGCAGAGGACCAGGCCCGAGCCCGGAGAGCAGCAGGGCACCTCAGCTTCTTAGCAGGAGCCCCCTTGCTTTGGGTCTCCCCTCCCTGCTGCCTAGCCCTGGATCTGGCTGGGGCCTGTCCGGCTTCTTAGAAGCTGGGCACTGCACAAGGGTGATGTTTTGAACTGCACCCTCACTCTCCCCATTCTTAAGCCTCCGTGAAAACGTGGTTTTTAAAGATAAGTAAAGTTAAACTTCCAGGAACTTCTTGAGCTGCCTTGTTAGCCCTGACCATGGAGGCCACCTCCTTAACAGAGGGAACCTAACCCTGCTCCCCTTCCAATCCTGGACTCCTCAGTGTCCACACCCGACTAGCAGAACCCACCTTCCTGGCCTCTTCCCTGCTCCCAACACTGGTGCGGCACTGCCATCTCCTGGTCTGTAACCTGTCGTCGCTGCAACCCCGAAGCTGCCCTCCCAGCCACACTTTGGCCATGTCCCTACCCTTCATGCTAGGGCCAAGCCCTTCTCCTTCACACTCCAGGGCGGGCCAGGGCGCAGGGCTGCCAGCAGGGCCGTGGTAGCAGGTTTATTGTAGGGAGCACAGAGGGAGGTCCCCCTCGCGGGGTTCAGTCCATGGGGGGCTGCAGCACCAGCAGCAGGGACTGCACTTGGAAGGGAGAGAAGGTGAGCTTCAGGCGGTTGTTGCTCAGGGCCAGGTGGCCGGCTGGGTCCCGCTTCTCCAGGAGGTCGCAGCTGGAGAACAACAGGAGGGGCTATGAGGCCGCCCTTGCCCCTCTCAAAGGGCCGGCCTCCAGCCCCCGCTCCCCGGTCGGTGCCCCACTCACAGGGCTGCCTCCTGAACTGGCAGCGCCGTCTGCAGCCAGCAGTCCACGTGGCTGCCGTGCGCCTCGTACAGCCTCAGCACCAGCGTGCGGCTCCGGGGAGTGGCCTCAGCCTGGGGTGGGGTGGGGTAAAGGCTGTGATGGGCGGATCGTGCACAGGCTTTACCCCACCCCAGGCTGAGGCCACTCCCCGTGCCTGCTTGACCGTCTCCAGGATGACCGCGGGCGTGGACAGCGAGAAGGCGCTCCAGGGGGCCGCCGGGGCCGGGCCGGGGGCTGGCAGCGCCAGCAGGGGAAAGTTGAGGTTGTAGGCAGCGCGGATGACGCCCGCATCCTGGAAGGAGCCTGGGGTGCGAGCAGAAAATGGGGGTCGGGAGGTGTGGCTGCTGGGACCCACCCGCGGACACAGCCCCGCACTCACCCTTGTGCGGCATCAGGGCGTAGGTGAACTCGTGGCGTCCCATGTCAGCCGTGGCGTCGGGGGCCTTCGGGGCTCTCAAGCTGGGGCGGCAGATGGGGGTGGGAAGAGGTTGCAGCGGCTGGGGCTCCGGTGGGGGCAGCCCGCCCGGGTGCGGGGGAGGGCCCCCACTCACAGCGAGAGGCTGAGGGTGTTGCCCCGCACCGAGGCGCCGTACTTGGAGTCGTTGAGCAGCGCCAGCCCGAAGCCGCACTCGGACAGGTCCATCCAGCGGTGGGCCCACACCTGGCGGGCAGACCCCCCCGCGCTGTCATGGCCAGTGTCCTTCAGCATCTCACTGCGGGGGGTGGGGGAGACGCGAGCGAGGGCCCCTGGGAACCTCGCCCACCCCGCGTTCTGCATCTGTGGTACGGGGATTGACCGGGCACACCCACCGCGGAGCGTGAGCATTAAAAAGTCCGCATGAGTGCGGTCAATCCCTCCTCCTCCTCCTTCCCACCGTCACCATCCACACAGTCCGGCCAGTCACACCTCAAAGCGAGCCCAGTCCCAGGAGGTGTTGTAGTGGGTGGGCCGCTGCAGGTGGCCAAACTGGATCTCATAGGTGGCCTGTGGGCTGCGAACACGGGCAGGGAACTCCACCTTCAGGAACTTGTGGTTCTCCTGCCAGTGCACCTGCAGGTGGGGGAGGGTGGGGACCTGTGAAGCCTAGTGCGTGCCACCTCCCACCAGCCGCCTGAAGACCCCGCCCCCTGCCTGGCTAATACCTCGGTGTGGAAGCGGACATAGGGACACCCAATGTCCAGCACCACCTCCTGGCTGAGCCGGCTGTGGGGGCTGAGCTGTAGCAGGAACCAGGCACTGCCCTGCAGGCCCCCCTCTGTGCCCACTGCCAGGGTCCCCGGCTGGCCCAGCACGGGCTTCCTGTGGGACAGGGTGGGAGGTACTGAGTCAGGGAGGGCTGGGAGTCCTGGTCAGCTGGTGGCCCCAACCCTGCTGCCCGGCCCGCACCGTGTCTCCAGGTGGTAGTCCATGACGTCCCACGCATCCCAGTACAGGGGCACATCGTCAAAGAGGACAAACTGGTTCCCCACGGCACCCTCAGCGATGGCCTCCCTGGAAGGACACAGGGACTGGCTTACCCCTGGCTGACCTGGCTCTCCCTGCTGCGAGGGGCAGAGCAAGAGGCCTCCCTGCTTGACCTGCCTCTGTGCGTGGGGCCCAGCCCGGGGCCAAGGGCGGAGCTGCTGTGGCAGGGCTGTGGCCAGGAGATGGGGGCGGAGTCTGCCCAGCATTGGGAAGGGCAAGGGAAGCTGGCACCTACCTGCCAGAGGCTAGCAGGACCAGGGACGTCAGGCGGCCAGTCGGGTCCAGCCTCACTCGGATGATGCTGTTGTCCAGAGTCACAGAACCGTCCGTCTTGGTGGGAGAGGCTGAGACTAAGCCTGCAGGGGCTTCTCACAACCAGCCCAGCCCACCTTTCCCACAGGCCGGGGCTCAAAGGCCCATGTCATTGGGGAGCAGACCAGCCAGCCCCCACCTAATGGGGTCCTGCAGGGACTCACCTCCTGCACTACGACCACAGGTTGCTGGGGCAGCAGGGGCTGCTGGGAAGTAGGAGTGGGAGCAGGAGCGAAGCCCATGCTGGGCACCGTCACCAGTGCTGGAGGGGAGACCTGGGGTCAGTGCAGCCGCCTGGACCTTCCTGGAGCCTTGCTCAGGGCAGTGAGAGGTGCCCCCCCACCCCTAAGCCCCCACCTTCCTGGCACCTACCTAGGCTGTGGGCCCCGCCGGCCCGGGGCAGGGCCAGCACTTCGGTGCGAGTCCAGGGCAGGGTATTGACGAGGAGGAGGCCCTCCGGACCTGGCTCCCCGGCACACAGGGCTGCCGCGGCAGTGCTGAGCAGGCTGCTGCCCTGGGAGCGGATGTCTGCGAAGAGACTGGCTGGTCGGGTCGGGCTGTGGGTCTGGGTTGATCTCCTAGGGTCCCTCCCAGCCTCACCTTCGTAGTGGCTCATGGCATCTTCCACCACCAGCTGGATGCAGCTTCCGGGCACCACATCATGGAACTGATTCAGAAGCAGGAGCCTGCAGAGGCAAGAGCAGGGGGGTAGCACCGACGTCCTGGGAGGGCGGCCGATAGGGCAGCAGGGCAGGGCAGGGTGCACTGACCTCCAGAGGCGCCGCAGCTGCTCGGCGGGGTACAGGAAGTGCGTGCTGTGAGCCAGGGCCAGGCTGCTCAGCAGCTCCACATCATGCAGGACCCTCTCGCACTCCCGATTCCCCTTCTTGACCTGGGTCAGCGAGGGAGAAGCCAGTCTGGGGGCACCTCCCAACAGCCAACATGGCTTCCCAGAGCTTCCTGGAGAAAGCCTCTGGGGGAGAACTCAAGGCCCCTCAGCCCCAGCTCCTCCAAGATCCTGCAGCCCAGGGTACACAAGCCTCTTCCCCGGCCCCACGGCCCACCCTGTGCCCAGCCGGCTTGGCGCCTGCCCTGACCTGCGCGTGGGTGGTGTAGGTGCCGTTGTGCAGCTCCAAGAAGAGCTCCCCGACCCACGTGCACAGCTGCCCGGCGTCGCTCTCCAGCGCAGAGAAGAGTCGGCCCGGAGAAGACAGCTGTACTCTGAGGAGGCATGGGCCTATTCTCCCTCTCCCTCAGCACACACCTACAACCCGGCCCCAGCAGAGGAGCTCCCAGGTCTGGGCCCCTGGGCAGCAGTGGCTTTCCCGGGGGCTCATGCCCCTGTCCCCCACCTTTGGCTTTGGCTCCCATGCCACCCACGGTGGAAGTTTGGAGGCCCAGGTATGGAGCAGGACTTGGTCCCATGGGAGGGTTGGGATCGGTCCGTGAGCAGGAGGAAGGGCTGGAGGCAGGACCCAAGGGGCAGCCCGTGTGAACTGCTGTCCAGGCTGACCTGGGCAGCCCGTCTGTGTTGCACAGGCGCTTCAAACGGTCCACCATGGTCTGGGTGGGGCCACCACCCCCGTCCCCAAAGCCGAAGAGGAAGGCACTGTGGTTGGTCCGCCCCTTGTCCCGGTTGTTGCTCACTGTCTTTAGCACCTGGTCAGGTAGAGACAGGCCAATGTAGTCTGCCCAGGATGGGCACAGCCCTCTTCAACCTGGTCAATGGATGCCCCTTACCTCCTCCACGCTGCCCTGCATCCCGTAGGAGTCGCCTGGTGGGAAGTGGGCCAGCACACGGGAGCCGTCCAGCCCCTCCCAAAAGAAGGTGTGGTGCTGCCCCAGCAGGGAGGACAGAGGCCAGGGTCAGAGCTGGCCCTTCCTGACCCCGTCCTGCCCCTGCCCACGGGTACCCAGGCCATGCCTGCGCACCGGGAAGGTGTTCACCAGGTTCCAGCTCAGCTTCTGAGTCAGGAAACGCCTGATGCCGAAGCCACGCATGATCTGGGGGAGCTGTGCTGAGTAGCCAAATGTGTCTGGCAGCCAGAACTGTGGGGAGAGGGGCTCTGGGGGACTGGGGGATGGGAGCAGGGCTCTGGGGGCGGGGGCAGCTTCCTTCAGCCCTTCTGCACACCACTGCGCCCACATGCAGGCCTACCTCAGAGCACACCTTCCCAAACTCCTGCAGAAAGAAGTTCTGGCCCTGTAGGAACTGCCTCACCATGGACTCCCCGCTGGGGAGGTTCCCGTCCTGGCAGCAGGGGTGGGGGTGGGGGGGTGTCAGAGCCGAGAGAAGCATATCTGCCCGCCCCACTGTCTGTTCGCCCCGTGGGGTCCGTGCGGAACACCCCACCCCCTTGGTGTCCCAGATCCCGAGGGGCTACTGAGGGGAGAACAGGGAGCAGCACTCACCATCTCCACCCAGGTGCCCCCCACGGGCACAAACTGCCCCCGGCAGGCGCACTCCTGCAGCCGGGTGTACAGGCCAGGGTAGTGGCTCTTCACCCACTCCAGCTGCTGCGCCTGTGGGCCAGAGGGAGCCAGCGCTGGGGCAGGAGGGGTGGCCTGCTCCGCATCTGGGGCAGGCGAGAGGCTGAGGGCGAGGAGCGTTCCAGGCCCCAGGCCGGCTGACCTGGGAGCACGCGAAGACGAAGGCGGGGTTCTGCTCCATGAGCTGCACCGCGGTCACCCAGCTGCGGGCACACTTCCGCACGGTCTCCTTGAAGGGCCAAAGCCAGGCTAGACAAGGGGGGTGGGGGTGGGCAACACAGGAAGGCCCCGAGCTCTGAGCTCTAGCCCCCACCCGTTCCTGCAGGCACCCCAGCCAGCCCTGGATCTGCTGTGCCAGGCCCGCATGCGTTGCAGACTGGTGGCACCGTGCTGAGCTGTTACCTTAACCCCCTCCTGTAATGGGGAGGCAAGGACAGGGATGGGGGCGCAGGGCTACCGGCTCAACACAGCTCAGGAATTGGAGGCCCAGGCACCCCCAGAGAAGAAAGACCCTGTGAGGTCGCCTGTGAGGTCGCAGCAATCTACCCCCACCCCATCCCTTCCTGCTGCCTGCACATTGATGCATTGTCCAGGGACAGGGGCAGGGCACTGCAAGAGGGAGCCGCCTGGGTCGGTCATCCTGTGGGAGGCCCTGTGGCCTCTCTGGACCCCTCAGCCAGCCTCCTCCTGGCTGGCCATGCCGGCCGACCCCCGTCTTGGCACCGCAGAGAAAGCTCTTGGGCGAAGGCTCAGAATCAGCACCGTGGGGAGCTTGTTAAACATGTGCATTTCCCTGGACACTCTTGGATACACGCTCATTAGATCAAAACCGAACTCGATCCCCGGCCCACTGGAGAGCTCCCCCTATGTTTGAGCCCCCATCTCAATGAACCCCGTATCATTCTGCCTTTAAAAGGCTCTCTGGCATCGCCCCGTCCTCCACCACCCACTGCAGCTGCCTGACGGCGACCCCTGGTCTCTGTCACCCTACCCTCCGGGTCGTCTGGCACAGGCTCTCGTGAATGTCAGAGCTCGTTGCCAGTGTCCCCAACCTGCGGCCCTACCTGTATCAATGTGGCAGTGTCCGATGGCGTGGATAGTGTGCTGGCTGTCACCTCCACGCTGCCCAAAGAACCTGGAGGCCAAGACCTCGGCCGCTGGGAAAGTCTCGGGCCGGGCAGGGTCGCACACGTTCACCATCTGGTTGGCCGTGTGCAGGGCCTGGAAGCTGCGCTGCTCATCTTGCCCGAGGCCCTGTGGTGGGGTTCCACCTTTACTCCCCCTCCCGAGCCCTTGAGCAGCTGGAGCCTTGGAAATCAGGCCCTAGCTGATCTCCCTCCCGGGGGTTCGTTCTTCCAGACCAACCTCTGAGCCTTTGCCCCCATTGCCCCCCACCTCCCCCGGCTGTCCGACCCTGCTCTCTGCGCGTAGGGAAACCTCTGCACACTGGGACAGGCAGGAAGAACTTTCTGGTTTGGATTCTGAGTCCTAGAACAGGGCTCTGGGTGCTGGGGGTGAGCCCGGTACCTTGGCAATACCCAGCAGCAGCTCCAGGTCCAGCAGGAGCCTGTAGGCGGCTTGGTGGAATACGGCCAGATCTGCCCGCGTCAGCTCAAACATCTTCTCAGGATCCGGGGCTGCGATCATGCTCCCCTTCCCGGCCCCCAGGAGCCCATTGCAGGCCACTTCCACATAGAGGGTTAGGCTACGAGGGTGAGAGGTGGCCTGAGGCTACAAGGGACCAGCCAAGACCCTGGGGGCTGCAGGAGAGCGAGCCACTGACTGCCAGGATTTGCTGCCCGGAGAAACACGTGAGAGAGAAGGTCAGTGGACCGTGGTGGAAAGGCCAGACCAAACCCATGTCCTGCTGGGAGTCGTCGGGGCCAATCAGTAGCCACATTTGGAACTGCTGCCCTGCCCTGCTCTTTAGCCTTTTGTTGCCAAAGCTGACTTAGCAAAGCACCGCCCAAGTCTGGCGGCACAGCAGAGCGTCCGTGGTTGGCACCCACCACAGGAGAAAGGCGGGGGGCAGCCTGGAAGACCTGGGCCGGTTCTCCTCGGTCCTGTAGGCTCACTGAGTCAGAATCCACTGGCAGCGGTTCTTGTGGCCTTTGACACTTCCTGCGTCCTAAAGGTGTGTTTGGGCCACCTGCCCAAAGATCACCAGGGCTCAGGCCCACCAGCCACTGCAGGGCAGGCAGCATAGGGCTTATGCTTGATGTGCTCAACAAGGGCACAGGCAGAAGCATGACTTCTTTAGTGAAGCACCCCCGCCCACCACGACCACCACCACGCGCCTCTCCTCAGGGTGCTGAGGCCCAAATGAATCTCCCAGTATTCTCGTCAGAGCCCTCCTGTTCCACAGTGACACAGTGTCTACCACTGTGCTGTCAGGGGCCAGGGGCACACAACCGTGCAATGACCAAGAGGACCTTTTGTGGTGCAGCCAGACACCCAGTTAATAAGGAATGACACAGCCGATGGGAAGTATCAAGCTAACACCATCTCAACCAGTAAAATCCAGGCGTGGAAGAAACCCCGCCAGGCTGGAGGGGGTGCTCACGGTGGCCACACGCGCAGTGAGCGGGATAAGGGGAGCGACTTTCTCTGCACTCTTCTGCATTGACCACAAGCAGCCAGACGACCTTTTCCTGGTGGGCCGGGTGCAAGGAGGTGGATGCAGAGGGTAGGATTCAGCGACAAAAGGAGCCACCTCAGGGGCAGGAAGGGGGATCACACTACCCATGAGAGACAAGCGAGCAGTGGAGCGCATCCTTTGGACCCCAGATTCCGATGCACTGAGCCTCCTTGATCCAGGAGATGGCCGCAGCAACGAACACTCGAACACTCGTGGGGAAGCAGAGTGCGGCGGGCGGGGCATTGATGTTTGACCCGCTGCAGCTGGAGGGAGGGGCGTGTCTGACCTCGGCCTCCCAGGACTGGGCAAACTAGATGATAGTATTTGAGGATGGCTGCGCTGGAGGGGTGAGGGAGTGGGGTCTCTGAGATCTGGCCCACAGGACACAGAGGATCACTCACCTCCGGGGGTCTCCTTCCCCAAGCTTGTCAGCCAGGACATAGCTGGTCTTCTCCCCCTCTTTGGTCAAACCCTGGTGGGGAGTGGAGGAGGGTTTTGGCATAAGATGAACCCTCAGTCCAAGGAGGCCAGTTCCCTCCACCCAGTCCCAGTTTTGGGTATCTTCCTCCCCCCCACCACCCCACCAGCACCACCCCCAAGGAAGAGCCAAGACTGACAAATCAGGAATCGAGTTGATGGCAGCGGTTTGGGTAGCAGGTGCCCCCTGCTGGCAGTCAATGCCACGCTGACCACATGACACCTGCTTGTAGCAGTTTAAAAAACAAACAAACCCCCCCCCCCCATCTTATTGGGTGTCCTGGGTAGGAGGTCTAGATTCCAGTATGTGGATCCGCAAAGTGTCTGCACTCCTAAGTAAACAGCTCAAAGGGAGCTGCATGAATTCAGGGCCAGGCTTGCCTCACTCTCAACCACACCCCCACTGCGTGATTGGGCCTAACGGAAGACACCTGCTGAACACAGAAGACTCTGCTCTCTTTCAGCACAAGAACCAGAGCCGTAAGCTGTGTCTGATGAGAAATGCCAAGTGGTGAGAAAGTTAAGCTTGAAGGTTGGTCTAGCAGGGAACGGCAGCTGTATGGATTTGGGCAAGTAAACTATCCTCTATACACTTGTGCTTCTTAATCTGTAAATTGACTTAAAGACTGCCAGGTTCTCAGGATTAAGCCGCACATGGTTGGCTGTATACACAAAGCACACTACTTCTATGTAGAGCAGCGGTTCTCAGCCTTCCTAATGCCGCGACCCTTCCATACCTCATCTTGTGGTGACCCCCCCACCCTAACTTTATTTTCATCACTACTTCATAACTCTCATTTTGCTACTGTTAGGAATCATAATGTAAATATTTGATAGGCAGGATGTATTTTCATTGTTACAAATTGAACATAATTAAAGCATAGTGATGAATCACAAAAACAATATGTAATTGTATATTGTGAAATATTTATTTCTAGTTACAAATAAATTTTGTCTTGAAGCATGATGTAGCATGGGAAACAGTATGTGGGCGTATCTGCACCTGGGCGGACCCACCTGGAGACAGCTAGAGGAGCGGTGTCTCGGTTCCTAAGACCATGGGAAATAAGTGTTTTCAGATGGTCTTAGGTGACCCCTGTGAAAGGGTCGTTTGACCCCCAAAGGGGTCGTGACATTAATTAGGGGAAAAGTCCAAAACCAAACTCACTACCATCTGGCTGGTTCAGATTCACGGTAACTCACTGGACAGGGTAGAACCGCCTCTTTGGGTTTCTGAGGCTGTAAATCTTTGCCAAAAACAAACAAACAAACAAACAAACAAAAATACCAACTCACTGCCATCAAGAGATTTCCATTCATGGGGACCCTATATGGCAGGGTATAACTGCCCCTATAGGTTTCTGAGACAGTAACTGTTTAGAGGAGTGGAAAGCCTCGTCTTTCTCCAGTGGAGCACCTGATGGTTTTGATCTGCTGGCTTTGTGGTTAACAGCCTGGCTCGTCATCCTACTGAGCAGGTGGTGGGTTTGAACTGCTGACCTTGCAGTTAGCAACTCAACTATAACCCACTATGCCACCAGGGTGCCTTACATTGAGAAGTTCTTAAAAATGTCACTTGATACCAGCCAGGGCTGTTTGAGAAAGGTCTCTTACAAGTATGTAGTCTATGCAAAACAAAAACAAATGCAAAAAGAAAAAAAGAAATGTTTGTTAAAAGCTGGAAAGTGATATGGTCTGCAGTCACTTGCTTGGCACCTAGGAGAGGGAGATAAACGGAGCTGCTGTAACGATGATGATCAGTATACTTGATTAATAATGGCATTTAAGTCCGATTGGGAAGGTGGTCGACTTCATGCACTGTTGGTGTGGTATGAATTACATGGAGATCACGACCTCCCACTCAACGGCCATGTGGTGGAATCAGTCATAGGGGTGCTCAAGCAGCAACTGCCCCAGCCCTGAAATTCGGACACTGCCCAGCAGGCAGGGTCACTCAACTGTGGCTTCTCCAGAGACCGGGGTTAATAATATGTGGTCTTAGCTGCTCTTAAGACAGGGCTCCTCACCTGGACAGGTTCTCCGTCACGCCACACCAGGCCTTCACCATTACTTTCCCAGCGAAGGTGAACTTCCTGCCCCACCCATGCCTCTGGGATGGTCAGCTCCACCCGGAACCAACAGGTCCACCATCTACAAGAGAGCGCGCCAAGACAGGCTTAGAAGTCAAAGCTGTCTCCCTGTCGGGTTGACACACTTCCTTCGACTTCCGATCTTCTTCAAGCCACCTGCATTTAAAAAAAGACCAGGTGCTCTGGGTTCTGGTGCAACGGAGGCAGCAAGGACCTGAGATCGCTCTTTCGAAAGATGTCAGGAGGAAAAGCAAGACATCACCTCCTTGAAGACGCCGAGGGAGCGGGGAGCTGTTTCCAGAAGAGGGTGCTGCTCTGTCTCCTTCTGAAGGGCTGGGACCCCAAGCAAAGGATGGGGGAGTCGCCCTATCCGTCCCGCCCACCCTCTGGGCATTACCCACGTGGGTCCGAAGCGCTCGCCGACCTGCGCCGGGCGGAAGTGCTGCTGGATGGCCTGCTGGTAGGGAAGTCTCTCGGGTGTCAGGAAGCAGGCGAGCGCGGCCACGGGGCAGCTGTCCCTGTAGAGTCTGTGCGAGGGGGGCCGGTGAGCGCGCGCGCGCGCGCTCGGAGCCGCCGCCTTCCCGCCCGCGGGCCGGCCAGCAGTTGAGGACTCGCGTCCGCGGCCCCCCCCTCCGGGGCTCGGCCCAGTGCCCAGCGGGCACTTTACCCCGCGGCCCCGGTGGCGGTAGTTTGCGTTCCCCCCAGGAAGGGGAGAGCAGGCGCGCGGGCTGGGGGCGCACCTGCCGCGGAGGTTGCAGTCGGTGAAATACAGCGGCGACACGAACTTCTCCACCCGCTCCAGCGTGGTGCGCCAGTGCTTGAGAGCCGGCGCCGCCGCCATCGCCGTGCTCTCCCCGGAAGGCCCGGGGCGCGGCGGCGCGGCCGACGGCCTGCACGGAAAGGTTCCGGAGGCCGACGAGCGCCTTCCAGCCCGGGCAGCTTTCCTTGGGACACCAACGAATCCCGGAAGCCCAGCCGCTCCTAACTTTGAACTTGGGCGGGGAGGAGGCGGTGGCCGCAAGGTAAAGGCTCTGGCTTCGGGGCTAGTTGCTCGTTATCGTTTAAAACGGGAAGCTGGAAGTTCAGGCCCCCGACAGTGGACCTGGGGCCCATTCAGCACTCTGGGGGAGCCTGGCTGCTCCAGCAGCCAAGGGGAACCTCCGCCCCACCGCAGCCCAGCCCTGGTGCTGCCAGGGGACGAGTGCTCGCCAGCTAACCAGACTTGGCAAATAATCTCGGCTTTCTCGATTGCACGCTGTTTTATTGCTCATCGCCAGAAACTCTAGGTTTTGACTTGAGAAGGCACATCGGTCACAGAATTCGGGATCCCAATAGAATGCATTTTACAGGAGCGCTGACGAACGCAACGCTGGGCAGTACGGTGGTCCACGGGCAGCTTTTGTTCCTCTGGGACTTGCCCAGGAGTCCTTGTTTACAACCATTCGAGAGAAACATGCACACCACCAGCCCTGGTAATTTCAAGGTAAATACTGACCAAATCAAGGGCACATTTCAAATGCAAACCACATGGGCAGGTGACTTCACAGAATTCAAAATGTGCAGGCAAGGAGCTCTGCTACAATACAGGCAGGGTGTAGAGCTTGGAGCTCAGTCTGGTTGTAGGAGGGGTGAACTGCTCCCTGCGGAACCCCTGGTTGCAGGAGGCCCCCCTTTCTATTGGTTACACTGGCAGGATGGGGTACTCTTCACTGGCCTTGTCGCAAGAAGACCCACTGGTAGGGGTTCTAGACATGGCATCCCAGGGGAATCACTACTGGTGCTGTCTTGGCCAGCCCCCAACAACTTCCCAGGTCAACATAATACTAGAAGGCTGAGAGGTGGGCAGTTGAGTGATTGCTGGGAAAACTTGGAAGATTAGCACTCCTTACTCCATCCCTGTTGGTAACCTCCCACCTGGCTGGGTCTCTTTGTCACCAGACGCTCTTGGGGTTAGTCTCCTGTCTGCTTACGTGAGAACAAAAAACCCTCAAGCCTGTAGAGCCGGCCGCAGGTTTTCAGAGTCCAGGGGCATAGCATACATTATATGGGCGGTGGGGAGACTTTGCTGGAGAAAGATTTGTGTGGCAGTCTGCTCCCAGAGAGTTACAGCTTTGGAAACCCTACAGGGAAGAGGGGCGGGGGGAGTTCTACTCTTGTCTATAGGGTCAACTGAGCATTGGAATCAACTTGAAGGCAGTGGGTGTGGTTTGGGATTTTTTAATTAAAAAGCAAACAAAAAAACACAACACTGTTAGTGACTATACAACTCCGACTCAGGCAATGGTTGCTGGAGAAACGTCCACCAGAGCCCTGGGAAGGGTTCCAGCAGGTCTGTGTTGAGAAAGTCCAGGCTGAGCACATTAAAACCCTCAGTGTTTGTGTGAAATATCTGCCCGTCTAGAGTCATGTCGTTAAAAATAGAGATCTCATTTGCAGTTAGCTAATGAAATGTATCAAACCTCCCATTTATAGCACACACCTTTTACACACTTGTTTCAAATACTGGTTTGGTATTTAAGATGTTCACTCCTACTCTCAGTGATAAGAAAAAATATATAGAAATACAAACTATGTATAGCTCGACAACTCACCCAAATATAAAGGATTTTCCCAACAGTTGAACAAAGGGATTGAGGGGGTAGGAGTACTAAAAGAATGAAGTATGCCGTTTTAAAAATCTGGAATCTCTTGATTTGGGTGAGTCCAAGTAACTGTTAACTATAATTTAAAGCAAAAATCCTGCCTTGACCCTGGGCTGAGAAGAGGAAGCCCAAATCCTTGCTTCCCAGTCGTTCTCTGGCGAGGACAAGGGACTTGGGCTGAGAATGTATTCCTTAAGAACCAAGCTTTATTTATTTACATTAAAAAAAAAGTTGGGGTGAGAGGGACAAAGACAAATTTTACACAAAAGTACTACAACGGTAACTCCCTTTGGTAAAAAGTGTGATAAATGTCTTGTACATCTGTTCATAGGTACTAAATCTGAAGCCACATAGTACTATGGTACACAAGAAGCTAGAGCAGTTATGCTAGCACATCAAAGCATATTTCTTTTAATAAAAAATTGACAGTATGTACAGTATTTACAAAAAAAAGTTAAAAGTGTGTGTGCGTGCACACGCATGTCAGTGTGTAAAGCTGGTGCTGGCACTAGGGTAGACTAGTGGACAAGCAGGTACAAAACAGTTCCACGGGAGCGGAAAAGGACTGATGGGAACTTGAGGTTGAGAACCAGAGATAGAAGGGTGGGCAGCAAAGGATTCATCAGAAATCAAATCCACAAGATGATCAACCTCAAAGCCCAAAATGCGGGTCCCAGATAAAACCTAGTGGGGGACCTACATCTGAGTGGCGGGGGTGGGATATTAAAAATCCAGTTTTGTTTTGTCTTTCCTATTGGGGGGAAGGGGCGGGAGCTGTGACCATCAGTGACAATCCATCTAAGCCTTAAGTCCTTCCCGTCTGTTTTGTGAATGCACTCCCGTGGGTTCCCTCACTGAAGGTCAGGCCACGGGAGACTCCGTCTTCACCCGCTGGTGTCTGCAAGCCAGCGGCAGGTCTGTGCTTGCACAGTGCTATCCTTCTTCCCTCCAGGGCAGCCAGTGGCCCAAACCCCTTAGGAAAAGTTCCAACTCCAACATTAAGGTATCCATGTTCCTTATAGGCAGCCTACTGGGTACCAGGTTGCACCAGCCACACACGTCAGGTGGCCATGTCCCAGAGGCCCAGTGAGGCTTGAAAGGCATCTTCCTTGTTTCTCCAGCGCACTCGAGGGCACGTGCCCCCCCCCACACGCTCCCCCCTCAGGTTTCTGCTGTAGCTGTGCAGTTACGGGGCTTTGAACACTGTGCCGTATTTGACACGATACTTGTTGATGCTCACAAAATGCAGAGTCTCTGTGTCACACGTGGTGGTGCAGGGCACCAGGCCCTCCAGCCCCTCACCCATGAGCCACTTGCTGGTCTCTGCTGCCATTTCCCGGGGCACGTGCTCCTTGGTCCATTGATCTACCCAGGCCTGGAACCGCTGGTGGAGCCGCTTGCTTACCCGCTCATGGGACTGCAGAACAGAAGAAAGAAAAACTTGAGCAAAGAGCCCGGCACAAAGCCCCCTTTTCTGCTAAAGGAGCACAGGGCAGAGGTGGGCTCGTCTCGGCTACCACGGGAGTTACAGCAAAGGGCAACTGAGAGGACACAAGGAGCCTCGGCTGGTGTTACTTCTGTCAGTGCAGCCACCCACTTCTAGGTGGGAGAGTGCAAAGACCCCCAAACAAGAAAAACCGCACCAGCTGCTGCCATGCTGACTCCTAGGAGACCAGCTGCCGATCTTCAGTCACTTCCTTCTCCCAGGAACTGCTGGTGCGGTTTGGATCATGACCTTTGGGCTGGCAGCTAAGCACTTTAACCATGGCACCCCCAGGGCTCACTCAAGTGCATGGAAAGGGCATCACCACCCACTCTCCCTTTCATGTTAGTGCCGCCCCCTGCCCAGCAGAATGCCAGGCCCGACAGATCTTCAATGGATGTTGGTGTCCCCACCGATACATCCAGTCCACATTGGTGTCCACATATAACAGGGGAGGGGACACAAAGATGACCAGGTGAGGGTTCCATTCCCTCAAAGGATACGAATCAGAAACCCCACACCCCACCATAGAGCTGATGCACGCAACACCCTGAGAAGTACACTGCCAAGCCCACCCACCATCTCGCTTGAACCCTGTGCAGTCCTCTCACACTCACCTAGTTCAGAATTCAGTGTCTGTCCCCCAAGCCTGGTAACTTCGTATCAGCAAATGTACTCCCCCCCACACACTACCCACTCCCTAAAGCAAAAGCTGTAACAGACCTGGGCATCACCTTCAGTGTCATTCTCCTAACCCTCACCCCAACTGCTGACAACTCTGTGTTAACCACGGTTCCATGGCCACCCTGACAGCCCAGGGCACTCAACAAGAGCAGCTTTGTGAACGCACTCTGCTCTTCAACACTGAACCCCAAGTTCTAGCCACTCTTCTGACAGTAGTCCACTGAGCATCTAGCACAAAGGCCGAAACGAGCCTCTGCCGCCTCTCCATCCTAACTGACCCTGGTTTCCCTGTTAACCTACTCCTCAGTTAATGACCCCCCCAAAACCTGTCCTGTGCACTGATACACATCTGGCAACAATGAATGCTGAGAGGGGATGTTACGATGGTCAAGGCTGGGTGTCAGCTTGGCTGGGCCATGGTTCTCAGTGTGAGGCAGCCATGCTTCGTGATGATAAAACAACCCCAGCTCCACAATGTCTGAACAACACTGCTCAGACACGTCCAGCCGCCCCACTTGCTGTTTCTTTTGCCTGGAAAGCACCTCTGCCAGCTGTTCAGAGCCTGGCTTCTTGCCCTCATTCAGGCCCCTGGCATCACCTCCTCAGAGCCTTCTCTCCTAAGAAAGCTGGGCCCACATGCCAGGCACCCTAGGTCGTTTCACCTGGGCAGTTTCCTTGCTTAGTGCTTCTTACATGACCTGTTAGCTCTTTTTAGTATTCGTAGTCCCAGGGCCCAACACAATGCCTGACATGCAACTGCCCCAGGAAGGGTTCACAAGTAAGATACAATGGGAGAACAGGCCCAGTTCATGCAAACAACCAGTCCAACTAGAGATGTAAATTCTGGGAGTAGCTATACCACAAGGTAAATTTACCTGCTGACCAAAAAATTCTCAGCTCCAAGAACACTTTTCATGAAAGAAGAGAAACACTCAAAAGGATTCTGGGGTGGGTCTGGGCCTGGCTGGGGAGGGAGACACACAGAGAAATCCCAGTTGGTGGGTCTCACCTGGTGTGCCCGGAGCAGGGCGGTCCTTCGATACATGTAGTCCTCGGACTTGATCACATACACCATCTTGTAGGAATTGAGCTTGAACCTGCACTCCAGCTTGTCCAGGCTCTCCACGTTCTCCATGGTCTTCTTACTGTTGCCGTCCTTCCCCTCCTTCTCCTGCTGTTCTCGGCCACGCTGACACTTGCGAATGCGCCGCAGATTCCTAAAGAGCAGGATGAGACCCGGCCCAGCTGCAGACCCCATGACTCCCCGTTCCCATGACCCTGCGCCTCCACAGTACGTGTCACATTTCAGTCGGACACACACTGTCCCAGGGCTTCCTTAATTAAAGACACTTCATCACAGACACTCATAAAGTAGACCCTCCTAGTCAGTCTTGTCTTAATTCTCCAAATCCCATTTGAGGTGGCCGAAGTCTCCACTGTTAGCCCTTTGTCTATTTACACATGCACTCACCAGCTGCAAGTGTTTTGAGACACCCACCTCCCCCTGAAAAATGGGATCATACGATGTGTTCTATGATGCTTAGACACACACACTCCAGGTAAAGCCACACAAACCTTGAATGAGCTAGCACCCTTAGAAGAGCAAATGAATCAAGAGAGCTGAAAATCCAAGTGCCATGTAACTGCCCATTCCTCAACTGCACGCGTGCGCAATGGTCACTCACCTTGGGAGAAACACTGGTTTCTGTGCCAGATGCTCACGGAGCTCAGGAGAGGTAGTATCAGAGTTCATGTAACGCTCCACGTAGTCTGACCAGCGCTAGGGTTACAGACACAAAATGGGGATAGGTGAGGCGGAAAAACAAAAAACCAGACTCTGGCTTCTTCAGGTGGCCCAAACAAATCTTATGACCAAAATGCCAAAATCGATGTATTTCAAAAACACAAAATCCCTGTCTGTCATGGCTTTGTTCTTGCTTGTTATTAGCAGAGATGAACAATTTCATCACTAGATAGCAAGTCCTAAGGCATCTCCTCTTCTCAGAAGCCTCAATGAGTAGAAGCTAACAAGCTTTCTTTCCCCACAGTGAGCTTCTATTTAAAAACAAAGCAGTACAGTGGCAAATATTTGACAATCACAATCAGTCTCTTTCACATTAAAATCTGAATTTCTGGCATATCTTAAAGGCGGGGGTGGGGAGGGATTCAATCACTATATTCCCCTAAGCAAGCCTTCCTCTCTATCCCCCAACATCACATCTTCAGCCCGAGCCTCATTTACATGACCCAGCAGATCCGACTCTGAAAGCACTGTGCCCTGTCTACTCTGAGGTCAGCAATGCCTGGCTTCACCTAGGCCAGTAAAAAGGGTGCCGTAGCCTTCCAGGAGAGGGGTGGCTGGGCAGAGACTGCTCGGCCCAATCTGCCTGCCCTACCTCTGCTTCCACAGGGTCATCCGAGTTCTCCTCTTCCGTGTCCAGAAGCTCAATAGTCAACTGAACCTTGTCTTGGCTCTGGATGAACACAAGCTGTGAATAAAACCACGGTGTTAAATAGAAGAACAGTCTAATTTCTGGAGGGGCAAGTTTTTCTTTCTTACAACTGAAGAGATGAGGGGGAGAAACACACTCAAGACCATGAGAGGCCAGTGCCAAAAAAGCCCAAAGTTCAACCCATCTTGCAACCAGCAAAATAAAACGCAGAGGCTCCCCCATCTCCCAGATGGATGAAAATAAGCATGCTTTAAAGAACAAGTCATTTGTTCATCAGAAAGGGCAGAGACAGGGGGCTTCCTGAAAAAGTGGAAGGAAAAGACAGAATATTCCGGGGAACTTGCAGAAGTCCCTCTCTATAGCCATAACCATAAAATGTCAATGCTTGCTCACTTTTCTTAAATGTAATGCATAAGAGACAATTAAGTCTATAGTCTAGCAAAAAAAGGTATGCCATTACTATGTGGAAAACAACAGCCACTGTGGGTGCACCATGGTAAAGACTACACGTAATATTAAACATGGTCGGGACAAGGACCTAAAAATACAAACACTTTTTAAGATTGACTGCAGTGCCGTCAATTGCATTTGAAACCAGAAATTCTAGTATGGCTAATGTTTGTGTGATTTACAAAATACATATTTAAAAGCAACACATGGGCAGAGGCAAAAGTCGGCCGTATTTTACATAAAATAACTCAAAATGATCGTGACCACACACGACTCTCCATCTCAGAGCTGAGAGACTAGCAATGCGTTCACCCTGCGGCTCCTTGCTGCTGAGACGGCAGGCAGGAGGGCAAGACGGGACTTTCTGAAGGGCTGTCTGAATTCCACCTGCTATGTCAAACACTGTAAAAGACAAAAACCACTCAGGAGGCTCAGCTTTTCTCGTCCCTAAGCCTTTGCTGCTATTACTCTGTTAATTACTCTTATGTGCAGGTAATAATATTCATCCCTTCAGAGCCCTTTAGCTATCCGTACGATTCAATTACACGGTAACTCACTGTGGTGGGCACTACAAGTTCACTCAGCGGAAAATGAAATACACCGTGAACTCCAATCAAGCATGTGAAGATTTAAAACTATGTAGAGTTTAGGAAATATCTTCTGGGTTGGAAATCCCTTAGTGACTGATACTTGAAGGTCAGGTTTGAGACTGATGTAGAAAACTCATTTCCAGTTCTCTGGTTCTAAATTAGAAAAAGGCACAAGTGATGAGTTCCTCACGGAAGAACTTGATGAAAACGTAGATCATTAGGGCACATGGAACATACCCGGGGAGGTACTCAGCTTAGGGTTCTGCTCTGCCAACGACAGATCTTGCTCTGAGGCACCTACCCCTGTTCTTAACATGTAAATACACACAGGCTCTGTTCATTGTGCCCATTTATTACACAGCTGCAATCAGGGGACACACACTTTTGTAGAGTTCCATTTCAGCATTTTTACAATGAATAATTTCTATTGATTACAAATATGCCACCCGGTAGTTACAATATAGGCTGCCATCTATTCAGTTCCATGTTGGGTTGGACAGCTAGGCTGTTGGTATTTGCTTTTCTAATCAACTAGAAAGACCCTGAAGATTCAATAATATAAGTATGATTCTTTATAAAATAATAGCACTAAACCAAAAGCCAAACCCACTATCGCCGAGTCAATTCAGAGGCACTGCTCCGCGAGTTCTCGATCGAGGCTGACATCTTGAGGGGAGCAGACGGCCACAGCTTTCCCCGGGAGAGGCTGGTGGCTCCAAACCATAACCCCTTCCATCAGCCACCCAGCTCTTAAGCCCCACTGTACCACCAGCACACCTTTTAAAGTATTAAATAGCTATTAAAAAGCATCATAATATGAAATAACGTTTAGAGAAAAAAGAACACAAATTTTTAAAAAACCATAAAACTGTTTTGTTCAAGGCGAGGTGGGGGGCGGGGGCGGGGGCGCGGGTGGTCCATGGGGACCGTGCCATCCACCATGCTGAATTTTTGGCATTTCCTCGATGGGCTCATTAGGAACTCACTGAGTTCCAGAGTGGTCTTGCTGGGTCAAAGCAGCCTGGTTTTTGACTCATGAGTGACCAGCCCAAGTCTAACTACTTACACTGGCACCTGCAGTTCTCACCTTAAAGCAATTCTCATCAGACATGAGCTGCTCGGCCTTCCTCTGATATGTTGACTCCAGAAGGTTCCTTGAAGTCTGTGTGCTCAGCTGGCCTCCAGTGGCCCCGTTACTGTTCTCTGACAGGTAAAGGTCTGTCACCTGCACACAGATCTCATCGCTCACAATGTGCTGCAGCTGAAGTAAGGCAAGGGACAATCGTCAGTGAAGAACAACATATCTAAGCACCGGCTCCAAAAAGTTTGTGGAAACATCCCACTAACTTTCTTTCCATTTTTCCATCAACTTTTTGAAGTCCTCTTCCTATTGGACAGTCACCCTGCCTTTGAATGTTCCAGTTACTCAGAATGGGGCTGGAAATTCTACAGAATTACAAACACAAAACAGCTATTTTATTTTCTTGGACAAAACCTATGCCAAGATCTTCAACTCTCATCACTAGTCCTTGAGTAAAATATCCACATCTACTTAGAGACAAAAAAGCAGAGGTAACTAAAGTTAATGCACTTATTTAAAGGAAAATCAGAAATGTTCACAAAGTCCCAGTTGTGTGCTGGGACGCCAGGAACTCTGCTTTTTCAGAATCTCATTGGATCCTCACGGCTACCTGGGGAAGGAGGTAGCCCCCCTGGGTGGGTCTTTAGAAAGCCAATCTTATATGTGTTTGATGCCTAAGGACGAGAAGCTGGGCCTTAGAAAACCTCAGCTCTATTTTCACCTCTGAACAAGGCTTGAAACGCATCAGATGTCCATGTCCCCACGGCCTTCTGTTGGAGGAGGGCAGTTGGTGCAATATTCAAGCTTCCTGACTCCTAGTCCTGGTCCGCTTTCCATTTTACTTTAAAATAACCACTTTACTTCTCATAACCACTAAGGCATCCAATTTTAGGTGCATACATTTCTTTTTGAAATGCTAGTAACTATGACGATGACTTATTTTTAACATTTAAAAAAAATCTTAAAATGACAAGGATCTCTATTTGTACATCATTGGACATAGTGCACGGTCAGAAGGGCGATTCGATGGTGGTGGAGAAGACTAGTGTCTAGATGATGATCAGTCCACAC